TAAATATATTTATTGTCAATTTCTGCAATGAACCTAGCTGACACCATCTATATCGTTCATTCTCAGTTGCCACATAAAGGGGGGGGGGGGATCAGGTTGGTTTTATTTTTATTAGACTAAACATAGAATGATCCTGTGGAACCAAGGTCATTCTCACCAGACCCTGAAGGTGGGGAGAAGAACTGTCAAGAAGACCGCCAAATGCACTTATTGGGTAATGTGATCAGTAACATAATAGAAGGGAGGGAATTGCTACATCTAATTACTTTGAATCTCTGAGGGAAAGTTTAGAGTTGGTTTCACTTAAACCAACTCTCTTAAAACAACTTTCCTGCTCCAGGATAGAGGGCTATCATGGAGCGAGCTACGGGGTCCTGAGCCCTGACCACCTACCCGATTCTTTCGGAAGGACAGTGAAACTCAGGGAGAATCCCAGGATGGAGAAGAGGGTGGAATCGTCTACTACTCCCAGCACAACCCCTGGGGATGGGGCACTGAGTGGCTGCTGCCAGCTCCTCTGATGAAGAGCACCACAGCTACCAACTATAAGCACAAAAAGCCACAGCAAAAGGGCTAGGAGAAGTCAAACTGGGCGCATCAAAATCAAGCCGTTGAGGTCTCCCCCCCATGGGGGAGAGATGGAACTCTGGCTGAACACCTGCAATTACTGGCACTCTACGACAGTGATGGTGAAAGTGAGAATGACCCAATGGTAAGTCGAGCCATCCCTGCTAAAATTATAGTACCAAAAACGGGTTCAGGCAGACCTAGATGTCCTAATAGACTCAGGCTGCATGCAATGCTTAATCAACCTTCCTACTGGGCTTCAGTTGGGAATCTGCACCAAGCAATTGCCCCTAGCCATGAAGTTTGAGCAGGCTGATGGTTATTGATTGGTGGGTCCCCAGCAACATACCTAACTGAACTGGTACGACTAGAGATGGGGCAGCATTGGGAGATTATCTGTTTCGTGATAATTCTAAGAATGACTGAGACTATAATCTTGGGGTAAGAACCATGAGATTAGGAAAGGGGCCCCTCCCCCCTGAACAGAATGGTCAAGAAGGGAACCTGTTTCTGCTTTGATGGAATGTGAACCTGCCAAACCATTGAAAGTCATAGCTGAATGATTACCCAGAGTCCAGCTCATCCCTAAAGAATACTGGGATCTCATGGAAGCGTTTAGTGAAAGAGAGTGTGACACACTCTCCCCCCTCACCGAGCCACTGACTGTGCCATAGAAATCCTACCAGGGGTGGTGCTCCCTAAGTCAAAGGTGTATTCCATGATTCCCAGAGAAATGAAGGAACTAAGGGGTTATATTGACAAAAACTTGGCCAGGGGTTTCATTCAGCCAGCTAAGTCTTGCGTGGCTGCCTCTGGACTATTCAAAGAGAAAAAAGATGGATCTTTGAGACTGTGTGTGGATTTGAAGGATTAAATGCTGTATGGAAAATATGTACCCTCTCTCCCTAATGAAAGACATGTTAGCCCACCTGGCCAAGGGGAAGATTTTTATAAAGCTGGATTTGTGAGAAGCTTATTACTGAGTAAGAATCAAGGAGGGAGATAAATGGAAGACCACTTTCAAGACCGCTTGTCTAGGGAGTTTCAAGTTCAAAGTCATGCCTTTTGGTCTCCAGGGAGCCCCTGCCATGTTTATGCAACTGATAAACAGTGTACTGCATGATCACTTATACAAGGGGGTCCTAGTTTACCTGGATGGCATCCTTATCTACACTGAGACCATGGAGGAACATGTCAAATTGGTTTGCGAAGTACTTAAGAAATTATGGAAAGCAAACCTCTATGCCAAGCTTTCTAAATGTGAATTTCATCAGTCCCACCTTGATTATCTAGGGTACTGAATCTCCAGTGAAGGAGTGGAAACGGACCCGGCAAAAGTGAAGGTAGTGTTAGAATGGCAGCCTGCATGAACACGCAAGCAACTGCAAAGTTTTTTCGAGTTCACTAACTTTTACCGGCAATTCCTTCTTTCCTTTGCAAAGATAGCGCTTCCTATTACTGAGCTTTTGAGAACAGAGAAAGGGGAAGGAAAGCCCCACCCTAGTCAATCTTGAAACTGGATGATCAAATGCCAAACTGCATTTGAACAGCTCAAGAGACTGTTCGCAGAGGAACCGGTCTTCAAACACCCTGACCCCGAGAAACAATTCATCATCCAAGCAGATGCTAGTGACATTGCTGTGGGTGCAGTCCTCCTCCAGAAAAACAATCAAAGGGTCTTACAACCCTGCACATAACACTTCCAGAAAACTCAGACACAGAACGACGCTGGACTGTGTGGGAGAAAGAGACATTTGCAGTGCGGTGGGCATTGTTAACTTGATGCCATTTTCTGGAAGGGAGTAAAGTGCTGTTTGAAGTGTGGACAGTCCATAAAAATCTTGAGGCACTTAGGACCCCAAGGAAATTATCCCCTAAACAAATTTGCTGGGTGAAATACTTCAATCGTTTTAATTTCTCCCTAAAGTACCTTCTTAGTGGAAAAATTTCCTGGCTGATGCCTTGTCCAGGATGCCTCAATACAAAAGCCACCATAAAGAAATAATCAATGCCATCATCCCCCCACCACAAATGGCTTCTCAAGTGACTACTAGGCACCAAACTCAAAAATGGCCCACCAGTCCTGACAACTGCTTAACCCAGCAACTAAAAGATGAGTTAAGTCTGACGCATGATTCAGAGCCAACAGACAGGTATTAACCTATAGAGATGAACTTGCATGGAAGGGATCCAAACTTTACCTTCCTAGCACTCTCAGGATCCAAGCCCTACAATGGAGCCATCATGCCAAGCAAGCTGGTAATTTTGGGTTCCTCAAAATCTTGCATCTGGTGAGGAGACAATTTTGGTGGCCAGGGATGAAGAAGGACATTGAAAGTTATGTTAAGAGCTGTGCAACCTGTGCAGCCATGAAGAAATATCTGGGTAAACCCCCTGGATTATTATAAGAAGTAGTGGACCCTTCCCAATCCTGGGAAGATATAGCAATAGACTTTATTGTAGAACTTCCCAAGAGCAGTGGGAATACAGTGATCTGCACTATTATTGATCGTTTTTCCAAGCAAGCTCATTTTGTAGCCTGCCCTGGGCTTCCTTCCACCCAGAAATTAGCCAAGCTGTTCCTGAAGCACATTTACCGGCTCTACAGAGCCCCAAAGAGGATTATATTGGACAGGGGGGTTCAATTTACAGCAAAAATCTGGAAGGAGTTTGTGAAATTGATTGGGTCAACTCAGGGTCTTTCCTCAGCTTTTCATCCAAGTACAAATGGAGCTGCTGAATGAGTGAACGCAATGGTGGAGCAGTACCTAAGATACTATGTCAATTATCAGCAGACTAACTGGGCAGATTTCCTGCCATTTGCTGAAGTGGCTTACAACAATACCATGCATAGCAGTACTGGACTTACTCCTTTAAAAATAGCTATGGGCAGGGAGTTTGTTCCCATGCCTGAATATCCTCAAGAGCCCCCTCCTCACAGACCTTGACTGAATGGATGACATCGTTACAGACCGCTTGGGCAAATTTCAAGCGGGCTTTAAACTAAGCCACTAAAATTCACCAACAAGCAGTGATCTCCTCAAAAACCATTTCATGTTGTAGAGAAAGTCTATCTCTCGACTAAATATCTAAGATTAAAGCTACCCTGTAAAAAGTTGGGACCAAAATTTATTGGCCCTTTCCCCATAATAAGAATCTTAAATCCTGTCACAGTTGAGCTTAAGTTTCTGCGGCTTTTTGGAAAGGTTCATCTGGTATTCCATTGTAGTGTACTAAAGCCAGTGACAGATTCAACCTTGAGACCAATTCCTCACAAAGTGCCAGGTCCAATTCTAGTAGAAGGGGAGACCCACTATGAAATAAAATGCATCCTTGATTCTAGATTGCATAAAGGGAAGTTACAGTATCTAGTGCAGTGGAAGGGGTATCCCTTGTCAGAGGCTACTGGGTTAAGAGTAGTGAAGTAATGGCAGATAGATTAATACGAAAGTTTCATGATAAGCAGCCCCAGGAGCCTCCAGAGCCTCCAGTACATAAGGAAAGATGGAAAGATCCCTAATGTATATTTATATTTGTTTTGCAGGAACTTTTTTTCTTTAGGGGGGTCCGACTGTCAACTTCTACAATGAACCTAGCTGATGCCATCTTTGTCGTTCGTTCTCAGTTGCCACATAAATAGAGGGGGGGGATCTGGTTGTTTTTACTTTTATTAGACTAAACATAGAACGATCCTGTGGAAACCAAGGTCATTCTCACCAGATCCTGAAGGTGTAGAGAAGAACTGTCAAGAAGACTGCCAAATGTACTTGTATGATAATGTGATCAGTAACACAATAGAAGGGAGGAAAATTGCTACATTTAATTACTTTGAATCTCTGGGGGAAAGTTTAGAGTTGGTTTCACTTTTGATTGTGCTGATATTATGTATCCAATAAATATGGTCTTTGAGGAATTCTCAAGCTTCAGAATTCTACTTTATTCAGTTTCATTAGTCAGAACCTTGACATTTATCTCTCATGCTTTCTCTTATAATCCTCCTTCCCCACGGAAACCACCAAAGCCATTTAGCTTGCACTTAGCCTCCATTCTTCATTACTAATGAACTTACTAACTGAAAAACTTTCCATGGGAAAATTAAGCACCAAGCATTAAGGTGCTTGGTAATTGGGATAATGGGTAGCTATCTCGAGACTTTCTGCCTAGAGACCACTTATGGTCTTGTGGAAGAAAGAAGTAGCCAATTATCCAGTTTGTGAAGAAATTATTACTTTCTTCCATTAAATTAAAAACTGCCAAAAATATACTGTTTTAAATATAAACGATCAGATGAAATAAATGTAGGATAATGGTATCCTACATATTTTAGTTTGGCTACAGAAATGTTCTTCGGGTACAATATTTGAATTTACAAAAATACACAAAAGTAATTGATAGAACAAAATGAAAAATAAAGGCAATTTTTTTGTAATGTATGTATGCATTAGGTTATATTATAGCATTATAGCATCTTGTTATTACAGATCTTACAAAAGCTCTCCTGACTTCAACAGCTCTACTCTGAAATGGAATGTTCAGATTGAGAATTTTAAGAACTTATTTCTAAGTGGTAAACACAATTTCTAGATGTTCTTGCAATCAACAGAATCCTAATCCATTATCTGTTTTGTGAGCTAAAATAATATTAATTAAAATCTCCCTGGAACAAAAAGAGCAATTAAATATTAGTGTCATAGGAATTATTCTATCAAATGTCTCAGCTAAATATACTGCACAGTATATAATGAGAAAGAATGTATCAGGTAATCCATCCATATTGTTTTTGCAATTATAGTGTTCAGACAAGGCTTACTGGTAAAAAAATCTTTTTGATTTATCACCTCTGCCACCTCATTGTATCACTATTTTTATTATTATGCATTTGCTGATAAATGATCATAAATGGCTTTCATAAATAGTACATGTTTCCTTGCCGCTTCCCACAATTGTCTCAATTGAGGTGAATTCAGTAGAAGGTTCCAAGACCAGGTCACTAGGTTGTGCCTGTACCTGAGCAACTTCTTTCTCTTCTTTCATTTGTAAAACTACACTATCGTGTGTCAGGTGATCAATACTGTCCTTCTTAGTTAACTGGTGAACTGAGGCTTTTATAGCAATCTTGAGTGGTGGTTCATGCAAAGAAGATGCATCCGAATCAGCAGCAAGAGAGTCACTACGCTTTAGGGGACTGGAAATCATGTACATTTCATCAGGGTCCATGATCCCTTGCCCCACAGCTGATTGCCGTACAAATTTATGGCCTTGTTCCTCTAATCTGACTACTTCCATGATTTCTTCCATTATAGTCCTACAATTAATTATAAGAGGTGGTAGGGGAACACTTCTAGCTAGTTCCTCAATGTAGCGGGCAAACTCCATTGTCTTAAACTGGGTTACTTTGGCAAGCTCAAGAGTTTTTGCTGAGGTGATGATTGGGATGCGCTTAGCAATCTCAAAAGCTTTTTGCAGCTTTTCAGCTCCTTCTGTCCGAAAAAATTCATTGATAGCTTTCTCAGTCTTTTTCAAGTGGCTACTCATCATGCATAGTCTAGTAATATTTAAGATCAAAACAATAGTAAATGCTACAAGACATACAATCATGTAGTAGATCCCCATGTCTCCAGCAGTAAATACAACCCTTAGAGTGACAGTATTATTCACTTTGCCATAGATGTTAGACGCAACACATGTGTATTTTCCTCGATCTTCAAATGACACACTGGTAATATTTAGTTGCCCGCTATTGAGAATCCATTTTCCTGCTGAAAAGAAGCCAGAATTAATTAGTAAAATGTATCTATTTTTTCTTCTCATCATCGTTTAGGAAATGTCACAATACATTCAAGTCACTACAGTAATTCAAAGACATCTTATAATGCGTCTACAATATTTTGGAATAACTGCTGCTAAGAAACTTGAAGTCTTGGCCATTAATTAGGTCTAGTAAATACCCCAAACTGCTTGTCCTAGGATTGCCATAGAATATCTCATGATATTGCTAGATTGTAAAAATGTGTATGTTCCCAAGCAAAATTATCCCTCAAATCATTCTGTGAAGACATTGTATACATTTCCAATTATTTTAAAGTTAATCTGAAGGAAATCTTATGGTTTACTTTTTACTTTTGTGTAGGTAAGAGACTGTAAATCAGGGGTCCCCAATCCCTGGTCCATGGACCAGTACCGGGCTGCGGCATGTCAGCAACCGGTCCGCACAAACAAGGAAAGCCCCATCCACAGGATGCAGGCAGCACACAAAACCATGCCCCCTCCAGTCCACGGAAAAACCTCCCTCCACGTAACCGGTCCCTGGTGCCCAAAAGATTGGGGACCTCTGCTGTAAATGATTTGTATATAAGCAAAAAAGTAACCTGTTCCTATAAATTAAGGGCAGATAAAAAAGGACTTTGATGTATTTCTGGATTTAGGTCCAATTAAATCAGTATTTTATTGCACATATATTTCAAAAGATGCTTAAATTTATTTTGATACAATAGAGGCCTAAAAAGATGGAAGAGTTATGAGGAATGAGCTGTTTAATGGCAAGAGATTCCCTTAAACTACAACAAGTCAGATTACTTGATTGCCCAAACCCCAATTGTCTACTTTGATTGCCATAGCTTTCTGGCACAAGTAAACCTCAGAATTTCATTTCTCATGCTTGGAGTACCCAGGGGATTATCTCACCATTCGTCCATTTAGTTTTGTTTTGGTCACAACTCTGATAGCAGCTCTTCATTTTAGATTCGAATCTTTCCTAGTTTTGGCTGCATTTGTCACAGATTTAACTTTCTGCATACAAACTATATGTATCATATACTATTTAGCTGATATACTTCCTGATAATTTCCAAGACCAAAGGGATCATAGTAAAGATCTGGGCTAGGAGACCTACATCAGAAAAGCAATTTAGTGGCATGCCTAAATAAGAATGCCAGTCTTTGTGCTTTTCCTCACTTGTAACTAACTAAAATACAAATATGTCCTAACAACCTTTTTTACTTTGCTATGTTTTATTGAGGTTGCCTGTATCTCATCTTTAGCCCATGAACAAATAGCCAATTTTAAAATAGTGTTTCCCCCTTTAAGGCAGCAGATACACATGGCAGTTTCAGAGTACCCAAAATTGGGTGGCTTTGCAGCCTCTTTTGTCCATGGCAAAATCAAGTGAATTGTACGCTTAGGGTTAACTCTTTTAAGCTGTACATGCATATCCTCTCCGAATCTGGCTCTTTCTTTGGCTGAAGAGAATATTGGATACAGATGCCAATTGCTCCCATACCTGCAACTTCCTGATACCTGCAGAACAGCTAATGGAGGTAGAGGCGCAACTCTGTAAAAAGCAGGAGGACCGGTTTTCTCAAAATCCTGCAACCCTGAGTTTGAAGATATGCATCTCACTAGCTTGACTAGCATCTCAGCTGGCAATCAGCTGTTCTTCAGGCTTGTTTTTAATCTGGTTTAGTGTTTCATAACTAGAATTTTGAAAAAGAATGCCAATTCCCTTGTCAAAACAAGGCTGACCTGCTGATCAATGTTATTATTATCATTCAAAGTCTTGGATGGAATTTGCATCTTTGGTTTCTCCTTGTCCTGATAAATGTTTCAAGCAAGGGAAGAAATAGCTTGAAAAAGACCCTTCAATATGTATGGCAAAATAGTAAGGAAGGAAGGTCCTCCTGTTGGGAACCATGTTCTGCATCTCCCCAGCAGGGGAAGGGGTTGAACTGAGATGAAGGAATAAGTAGAATAACTAGGGATTGGCTATGAAGGTGACATATTGCTCAAGATCCAGGTTTACAAAGCAGTCTTTATTCTTTATAGACATACAGTACTCCCTGCCCCAATCTAGATCCTTCAGCATTCAGTTTGTAGAAAAAAGATTATGTGTAGAATTGTGTAATATGTAGGGGAGGAGTAATGGAGGAGGGAGGATAGATTTGCTCACTCTGAAGCAAAACTGCAGTATTCATTTCCCTGCTGGCCTCCCTCTTAGACTCCACTCTGCAAACCTCACAAACATCAAATTGGTCAGTTTCAATGACCGGCTCCATACACACATTTTCAGCTTCCAACATTTCAAGAGCAGTCCTTGAAAATTAGGAGGAGGTAGAACCATCAGTTTCACTCCTACCTCTGTCCTTTTGTGTTCAGAATTCTGAGGAGTAGGAACTCTTTAACTGGCATTTAAGTGGATCCCTCACATTACAATAGACAATGTATAGCTTAATTTGTTCTCTGTGGTCATGAATGGAAGAAGTTTTCCCATGGCAGATGACATTAGGATGTGAAAGGGAAACAAAGGCAGGAGAATCAAACAATTGTTTTATTAACATACCCTGCAGGTGCATATTTGGGACATGATCACTGAATGTGACTCAGAAGACATAACACAGCTAAACAGGAAATGGTATTCAGGGCAACTATATGTGTGCTAGAATAATTTTCTGTCAATTTGAGAAAGGATAATGGGCAAAGAACATTTGCTTCAGTAGGAGGCTGTCATTTGCACAGAAAATCTCCATATATATCCATACAACCAAAGATAATCTCTAATTCATATTGTCTTGTGATAGACAAGATTTCTCACCATTACTCCCACTCGCCGTGTAGTGATGCTTAAAAAAAAAGCATCCCAGCAATTTATGCAGATTTGGAATCATCAATATTCTGAAGAATCCAGCAGTATCATTCCAACTAAAGCAAAGCACTCAAAAGTCCATATTGTTTTTTGTAATATCTGATTTTTCAAATGCCAGATAGTTCCTTGTTGGACTTGAACAAATGGATATAGTGAATTGCACAGTAAGCAGTTACAGCAAATAGCATGCTGTTCATCCTGCTGGCTACTTCCCACGAGTCCCTGAGTAGGAACCTATGACAATGTTTCTCTCCCACATGTCCTCTTCCCATCAATAGGTAATTGTCTTCTGCTTTTTGAGTTTGCATACAGCCATCTTAGCAACTGCTAATAATACGCTTATCTTTTACTAGCATATCTAGAGCCATCTTTTGGACTATCATCCCATCTTTTAACAAGCATGTTCCATACATTAATATATAATTTGTAAATAAGTGCTCTTCTTTAATTCACCCGAATCTCAATATCAGTTGTAATTGAAGAATAAAAAAATGAAGAATAAACTTTTACCATATTCTCACCATCGTTGCCTTTTACCTATAAATTTATTATTTAATAAATAAATAATTCACAGATACTGTAACATTTCCATGCAGTTTTTTTTAAATAATGTCACCTGTATGTTTTTTTTAGTATGAAAACTGCAAGTGCAAGGAAATATGGGTAATCAGAATCAACACTGCAAGGGGTAGGATGGCTATAATTCTTCCCTTTAAGCTATAACAAAAAATGATGTTTCTGAATATGTGGTGTGCATTAGGAAATGAAACTCTGTTACTGATCATGATTTCATAGATGTAATAAAAAGAACAAGAGAAGTAACAGCAATAGCCAGAATCAACATGACTGGGATTAAAGACTGGTCCTAAACTGAATGAGTTGACGTGTGGTATAAGGCACCCATAGTGTGCAGATTTAAGATTTATGACTTTATGTGGTTAATGGACGTGCAAAGCTCTTATATATAGTTATAGAGACAACTTTCTCAGCTCCATCAGCATCTAAAATATCCAGATTAAGTTTAGGAAAAGAATCTTCCTGCTGGGTAGAGTTGGTAGTTGTTTCAATCTATCAAGTATATTTAATACTTTGCATTTATTTGCTTGAATAAATACTATTTAATTCGCTTATTCATTTACCTTGAGTAAATAGAGAAAAACACATTTACAACAGTTAGTGCTTTTAAGGAAACATAACATCAAGACAACGTTTGCCTAGGTTGCATAGAAAAACATCTGAAAACTGTACCTCTGTCACCATCTTCTTTCACCAAATGGCCATTTGAGTTGTACCACTTGTACACTGGTTCTGGATAACCTTGAACGTTGCAGTCAATCAAGGCACTATAACCTTCCTTGACTATAATGTGGTCAATTCTGGAGATTACCATTGGTACAGATCCGATCAACAGGTCTGTATGATTTAAAGTGCTGTTAATGACATCTTCAGCAGTTGTCCATACTGCTAATAAATCGAAAACATGAAAGACGGTCCAGTAGTACAAAAGAAGGTGGCTCTTGAACATGTTCACCTGTCTGCAAATATATCTGCCAATCACAGTTAGTGGACCTGGAAATGGTAAATATACCAGGCTGGAGCAGCCCATCAAATTTGACCCATCAAATTTCAAAAGCAAACAAAATCTAGTCCTGCAAAATAAAACAAGTTATAGCAATAAAAATAAAAATAGGCGTAGTAGAAGTAGTTAAAGCAATTTTGATTTAAACTAATAATCTATCTCAGAACTCATTGTTTCAAAAGTTTAAGTTCAATGTTAGTGCTATCACAATTCCTGATATTTTTTCTGTTTGTGTACTGTTTGATACAATTTCAATGACAGAAAAACACTGTTTTGTTCAGATCAGTGATTTTAATTTTAAAAAATATCAGAAATAATGTTTCTTTTTTAAAAAAAATCCAAATGAGAAAAAAAAGTTTAGCATTGAGTTCATATCACTATCATTGTGTAGGAATAAGGATTAATGTAACAGAAATCAATGTTCTTAACAAATCTACTTATGCCAAAATGCATATCTAAAATGTCTCAGGTTATGCTAGATGAAAAAAGCAATAATACACATATAATATGAAGGTAAACTTTTTGTGTACATGACACAATGTAACTAAGAGTTTACCATATATTTCAAATAAAATCTGTACTTTTTTTATTTGTATAACATTTTAGCAAATATCTATTTAAGCAAAGAGCTTTCCACTGAAAATGAGTTAGGATGTTTCATCTGAAATTCAATTTGTGTGCAGTTCTATTAAATATATATACTATGGATAACATATTAATGTCAAAACAATTTTTATGGCTGTATATTGCATATATTTCAAAGAGTATCCTTACATAGTTTGCAGTTGATAATCATACAAAAAGAATTTAGTATCATCCTAAAATCTGTTGCTTAAAAGTAAGAGTAACTGGCTTGTTAGTCAGCATAATTCTCAGTGAAGACATATGAGAGAATAGGGAAGGGAACATTAATTCAAAGTTACAGTCCTGCTTTGCATATAAAATATCCCTGGTTTGGTGTATGTCATTGCCAGTTAAAGAGATCTCAGCTGGGTTTTGCGACCTTCTGACAAGCAAAGTCAATGGAGAAACCAGATGCACTTAATAACTCTGTTACAACTGAAGTGATTCACTTAACAAATGTGTCAACAAAGATCATAAAATGGGGCAAAATTCACTTAACAAATGTCTGACTTAACAACATAAATTTTGGGCTCAATTGTGGTCTTAAGTGGAGGATAACCTGTATTGCTTCTCTGCACGTTAATGCTGATGGACATTTTGAATTCAATATATTGTAGATGATCCAGAATGATCTGTCACCTGCTCTATCTGGTTCTGTACTATTCTGGGCAGGTGAGATACTTCCAAATAAAGCACTGGATTTATGGGGTTCATTGGGAGTCAGAGACAATCTTAGAAATAAAAATCATAGTAGAATATGGTATTTTGTCAAGATCTCACATGACCAGAAAACTTGGGGGATGTGGAGAAATGTAATAGATTGTATTACAATGTATTGGAGGTCTTTGAAAGAAAAATGTTTTTTGTTTAAATTTTATTTGATTAAAACCTTATTTTATGCCAATTTAGCTTATTTGTTATATATATATTTTATAAATGTCCTACAAGTTTTGTGAATACTATAGCTGCGTAAATCACCTGGATTTATTTACAGTCATGTTTATTTACCATAACAAGCAAACCATGTTTCCAGGTTTAGTGCACAACGCTAGTGTTCAAGAAACAGCTGTATGTCTTTATTAGATATTTGTTTCATTCACAGGAATACCCAAGACTAGGAAGATTACGAGTGCAGCTGCTTCTTCTCAGCTGCAGTGACCAAGTCACGCATACAAAACAACCCAGAAAGAAGTGGAAAATCATCCCTATTAATTGAAGACTCTCTATCTTCTTTTTCTTCCAGGTTTTTGCTTCATTTGTTTTCAATGCTTAATTTCTAAACAAAGATTAGTCAGAGCTCAGTTCTTTCTCCAAGCAAGCCACACAGCATGGAAGTCTTTTTCTCTAATTCTGGTTATGGCTCTCTATAGTAATTGGCAATAAAAGAAATATAATCATCTATTTCTAGACATATTCCTCCATTTTTGTGTTATATGACTTTATGTAAAAAGCCAAAAAGAAATATATATTTTCTTACAGTCCCCATTGAGTAGTCATTAAAAGAGACACAGTTAAGAAAGTCTAAATGTGCGTGCATGACTTTTAATGTGTCTGTGATTCTAACTTTTGAATTTGTCTTTTCTAGTCATCCATTATGGATTTTTCACCATAAAGGTGAATATGATAAATTATCATTGTCCATTATTATCTTAAATTAACATGCAAGCATAACAGTAAAGTTTTCTTGTAAATGTAAAGAACATTGCGGGAAATTGGAGTTTGTAGTGGACTTATGTGATTGTGTTTTGTTTTATTGGTTTTGTATTCCTGATATACTCACAAATTGTGGGTGGAACTATCTTATAAATTATTGTAATGAATTAAAATAGCAGTCCAGCTACTAGCTATAGATATTGTAAACAAATCCTATCTTCTTTCAATGAGAAGCAGCTAGAGGTTTCTGTTTCCAGTCACTTGTTAGCTGTAACCTTATATTAAGCATAGCATGTCTTTAATAAAGTGAATGGAGCCCTAGTTAATTAACATTCTTAAAAGACCTATAAATATTAATTTTCTGTAATATAAACTAAATACTATATTATTCTTATTAAAAGTTAGTACCTTTGGCTTTGATTCATTTACTTTCCTCAATATGTTCTAAAGACAACTTCTAAACTGCAACAGTAGTAATGATTTAATGCTTTATTATAAGACCCAAACTTGATATTATTATAAAAGGAGCTCTGTGATATTTCAGAGTATATATAAATGTTTAGTTGGTGGTAGCTGTTATTCCTGGGAAAGACACATTATACATCTTACAGGTTATGGGATTGCAATTGTTCATCTGGGGTAGTGACAGGAGATAGCTGGTATCAGCAGAATAAACAGAATAACAGAGTTTGATAGGACCTTGGGAGTCTTCTAGTCCAACACCTACTCAAGCAGGAGACCCTATACCAGTGGCGAACCTTTTAGAGACTGAGTGCCCAAACTGCAACCCAAAACCCACTTATGCATCATTGAGTGCCGCGTGGGTGTGGCCCATTGGATGGGTGTGGCTGCGGTGGTAACGGCAGACTGGGAGGGACTAAAAAGTTCAATCAATCAATTCCAACTTTGCGAGATTTTTTTTCCCCGCGAGAAGTTGAAATTGACTGATTGAACCTTTTTTTTTTTTTTGCACACGGCGGCGGAGGTCTAAAGCAAAAAGGTTTTATAAAACCCAGCTGAAGGCCTAGGACTGGGGCAACGGTGCATGTGTCCACTGAGAGGGCTCTGAGTGCCGCCTCTGGCACCCGTGCCATAAGTTCGCCACCACTGCCCTATACCATTCCAGACAAGTGGCTGTCTAGTCTCTTCTTAAAAACCGCCAGTGATGGAGCACCCACAACTTCTGAAAGCAAACCGTTCCACTTGATAATTGTTCTCATTGTTAGGAAATTTCTCCTTAGTTCTAAGATTGCATCTCTCTTTGATTAGTTTCCATCCATTGTTTCTTGTCTTGCTTTCTGGTGCTTTGAAAAATAGGCTGACCTCTTATTTTTTGTGGCAGCCCATCAAATATTTATGCAACAGTAGGTACTTATTTAATTTTCCCCACTTTATTTTTATTTTATGAAATACATGCAATGAAATTGATTACTAATTTTGTGCTTTGGGTTATAAATATTAGAAATAATTTGAAGTGAATTATTTATAATGAATTCAGGTAATGAACTATTTCAAGTTAATTAGAGAGTGTAGACTCCCATTAATTTTTCTTGTTTTTTCCAGAAGCTAGTAAGTTTCCATGTTATCAGTGGCAATTAATTTTTCCCAACCCTTTATAAGCTTTTGTTTGGGGAACAAATGTTTATGATCAGTATGTAATATAATGATACTCTTAATTTTGTTCTTGGCATGCTAGGCAGACCATACTGAGGGTTCTGCAGAACTTTAGGTGGCATAATGGAATCTTCTGCATGTTTTTTGCCACTAAATTATTGGAGAGAAATTATGATTTTTAATTTTATTTTACCATTTCCCAACATTTTTTTTACTTAATATCAGATTTGATAAAACATAGTAACTAGAACAGCCTTTCCCAATCTTTAGATAGCAGAATAACAAAATTGGAAGGGACCTTGGAGGTCTTCTAGTCTAACTCCCTGCAAAAGCAGGAGATCTATATCATTCTGGACAAATGGCTGTTGCTGTCCAATCTCTTCTTAAAAATCTCCAGTGATGGAGCACCCACAACTTCTACCTTCAGGAAGTTTAAGTTCCCAGATTCAAACTTTGAAATGTCCAGTTTAAATAAAACATCAGGAACAAAAGGATGGGAAATAGTCTAAATCAATTTTGCATGTACAGAACTGTACAGTTGTTTCTCTTTTCTGAAACCTTTTCCTTAAAGAATTTTGCTCCTAGAACCCTACTTTGAAGATTATCATCAAAACCCATTTCAAACAAATATTTTGAGAACTTTACTGTGCATTATGTTAATGCTTCCCTCCCCCTTTGGATGTCACTTTACTCTTGTTTACATCATAATTATTTATTATGACAACTTGGTTCCTAAGATAAGTTAATTTAGGAAATTTCATGGATATTAAGCTTTGTTTTCCTTTCTTAAACAATTCCCCTATCCTAGGCCAGTCCCATAATCTCAGGAGCACTTATTCTCCTATATAGGAGAAGCAGGTGCTTGTAGGGAGAAGCAGCAGCTTGTACCGAGAAACTTCCTGAAAAGGATCCAAGGCACAATGTTTTGGAGGTAAGGCAAATATAAGAATGGAAATTGATTAATAATCTCAAAATAAATATATAACCTCCTGAGCTTAGTCAGGTGGATGACTAAATTCTACTAAGAATCCCAGCTGTTTCTTTTAGTTGTGAAACAAGTGTTAGCCACCTACAGATTTTGGCAACCAATTACTGTACCACAGTGTGCAAATGTACAGTATTAATGGCAAAACAAAGAGCAATTATATGCTTTTAGGTATTCTTTCATACCTGATACTGAAAGATGTGTGACTGACTATTTGCATTTATACAGTTATAATGCCATACAGGTAGTCCGCCACTTACAACCATTCATTTAGCGACCGTTCATAGTTACTATGGCACTGAAAAAAGTAATGTACAACTATTCCTCACACTTACGACTATAGCACACTATCCCCACAGTCACATGATCAAAATTTGGATGCTTGGTAACTGGCGTGTATTTACAACAGTTGCAGCATCCCGGGGTCACCACAAATAATCACCATTTGTGACTTTACCAGCTGGTTTAGACAAGTAAAATCAATGGGAGAATTCACTTAATGACCACATAATACGTTTAACAACTGCAGAGATTCACCTAACAATCATGACAAAAGGTCATAAAATGAGGCTTGACTCACTTAACTGCCTTGCTTATCAAAGGAAATTCTGGTCCCAATCATAGTTGTAAGCCGAGGACTACCTGTACTACCTGTACTTAACTGAATTTGCCTTGGTCTCAATAAGTGTGGATACTTGGCCACACTACAGTGCCAGTTATATTTATTCAGGTTTTTCCCAAGCGAAAACATCGACACTGGTTCAAATACACTTGCTGTTGTTTTTTCCATGTGTTTAATTCCAGCATAGAGGTCACCTCATGTCCCTGTTTCTGTGTAAAACTCTAGGCCTGTTAAACCAGAGACCCTTTCCTGAAAGAAGATGTTCCAAGGACAAGGCAATCTAAAGCTTTGCTCTCTTGGAAAGCATCAGAGCCAGAGTGGGTCAACAGAAATTGAGGCGCTCTCTACTCTCCCCTGTCTATCAATAGAAAAGAAGTCCAATCTTCTCAGCTGCTGATCTGCCTATCTTATATGGGCCTCTTTAGAGTCCCATTGCATTCTACTTTTAATATTGTGGGGTCCTTAGTGAGCTCTGCGCTTGGTTGTTTTCTTGCAGACATTTCATTACCAAACTAGGTAACATCATCAATATTAGTAGGGAGTGGGATTACGACCTAGTAGCACTAATGATGTTGCCTAGTTTGGTAATGAAATGTCCGCAAGAAAGCTACCAAGCCCAGAGAGTGGCAAGGATTCCACAGTTCAATCCTGAACTACAAATATTTTCTTCTATTGGTATTTTTAATATCCTAAAACAGGCACATAGAATCTCTGGCACACCAGATGTTGTTGAACTACAACTTCCAGCATTAAAAACTATTTGATGCTTTTGGGAATTGTAACTCTGGAACAGATGGAAGGCAAATACCTCCTCCTCTCCCCTGAATTAATTCAAGCCTTCTGATTAGGAAGCAAGTCTTCCTTAAGACACAATATATGGCTAGGATTAAAGAGAAAATATTTTGCCCATCCTCAACAGCCCTTTCCTACAGACTAACAGGGCTCTTCTCTTACACTCTTTTCACAGAAGTATCAATTCATGTGTTCCTGTGCCAGCCCTGGATATTTTTCTTCCCATTTTCCATTCTCATTAAGTCTCTGAAAGCAGAATGCCTCACAAGTCTAGTCAAGAGTCAGATGAGGCCAGCCAAACTTCGCTCTTGGAAAGTGGGCAGAACAAAAGGAAAATAAGTAATAGATAACTTATGCCTAATAGTTTAAACGCTGACCAAATTTCATCGGGTCAACTAATTATCATCACAACTTACGGCCTCAGTTTTTCGTTAACCCTAACAATGGATTAAGGCGCTGCGCCCACATAAGTTGCCACACAAGAAGCCACCAGCCATTGCTACCTTCCTCTGCAACATCGCCCTTCCCACCCACCATTATCTTTGCTAGTCGAATCTATCAGGGATAGTTGGAAAAGAGGTGAATCCTCTCTTTCTCCCCCGACTGACTTGAACCTCACCTCCTAGCGTGGGGCACCCTGTCTGCATTGCCCAGTGCCAGTGTTCGGTGATTCCCAATAGGGATGGAGATAAACCGGACAGAAATGTTTACCAAGAGGCAGCTTCGTTGGCCGATACGTTTTCTTGTCCACAGCTTTCCCTAGAGCTGCCGTTTAGGCATTTTGGAAGCTACTTCCGGGTAATTTCGGCTTTTGGAGCCCCAGCAGGTGCAGGAGGACTTGCTCTCCCGGGGAACGCCAGGTTCTGCACCCCTCTACTCACGCTTCTGCCGCCTCCGCCGTCCAGGTTGGCTATATTCCGCGCGCTCCCAGCAAAGCTGCAGAGTGAGCTCCCCGGACTCAGCTTGCACAAGTAGGTCAGAGAGGCACTGAGCATGCTCGCTGTTGAGCCAGGCTGCTGTGAAACTGCTCGTGAGTTGTCCTCTGCTTCTTTCTTTTTGTACCCAGCGAAGGTTACATTAGTGTTTATATAGGGGAGTGAAGAAGGCGGGGGAGGCTTAGCCCCTGACGAATTCTTTCCTCTCCGATAGGGTGCAGCGTAGAGAACATCTAATATATAGCGCCGCACTATTTCTAGATGGATCATAAGATACGATATCGGTATTTTAAAATTCACCTGTATAACATTCGGCTGTTATTGACTTTTTATTCAGCAGAGGCGAGTTTGCGCCTATCATTTCCATTTGCTTCAGTGATCATTCTAGTGCTTCCAATATTTTAATTTTTCATGTTGAATTTCTGTCCAAAGAGTTTGTCATTTGTCATAATACTCAAAGCTGGAGAGAGGGGATTAGAGAAAAAAAGTTCAAAACAAATCTACACTGAAACTGAGGACCAGTTGAATATATTCAATTGCAGTAGCAGTGCATGCACCATTAGAAGATCTGAAACACCAAGTTAGGAATAGATGTCAGGGGAAAAAATATGTGAGCACTAACACTTGACAAGGTCCATCATCATTACCTTCGTCATCTTCATTGTAGGCTAAGTAATTTCAGAGCTATAGTCTAGACCTAGAAGTTGAAAAAAATGCCAAAAAACTGAATGACCCACCACTTCCAAAACACAACCAGATTTGAGTTTAATGTGTTTGTGGAGCCTTTCTTTGGTTTTTTTTGTCATAGCTGTTTAGTCTGAGCTTCCTGAGTAATTTTATTTTTATCTGTTTTTGGCAGCCATAATAAATTTAAATATGTCCCCATGTAAACACCAGGGCCTGAGTTAATACAATGCATCATTACTTTTAGCCACTTAGTTTTGGCACCTCACATGTACTATGCCCTCTGCAAACAGTTCTGCTTTAATGTTTAATGTTATGGTGTTTTTAAAGTACATTTGAATTTGCTTCAAGCTTTCTAGTATGAATTTAATGGTATTAATTTTAATAATTATTAGTTTTAAAAGCCTTTTAATGCTTTATTTTTAATTCTGTGTGCAGTTTTATTTTTGTGTGGTAGGTATTTTTTTTTCAATTTTTACATGAGATGTAAAGGTTTTCCCTAATGAAGAACATTATATCAGTACTTTAAATATATTGTCTAATTAACATCATTTAACTCCATTATCACTGTAATTTAACTTCTGAATATCTGTTTAAGGATTGCTATTCCAATTCTGAGATGTATCATATTAGAGAATAAAAGTATTCAGTTGTTTTGAACATTGGGTACTCATTACACTGTTGAAAACATTTTATTGTTAATTAATTTACTTTACAATCATATACATTTCTCTTATTTTCTTATTTCCCTCACCACTGTTATTATTGATTCTGAATTGTTGTTTCCCCAGATATGTTCATGTGTCTTTTTATTCTATTCTATATCAGTCATCTTACAGGTAGTCCTTGACTAATGAACACAATTGAGCCCAAAATTTCTGTTGCTAAGTGAGACAGTTGTAAGTGTCAGAACCCATTCTTTCCCTGGGGGGGGGTGTAAAACATAGCATAGTAAAACAACTTAGATTGCTTCTATTTTATTCTTCTCTTTCATATACAATTGAGATGCTTATGTATTATTATGAGAAATGTTAAGAAACTGGACAAAGTCATTAGTTATTTCCTTTTCCCCCACTGTATTTTAAAAACACCATGCAAATACTAGAATATATTTTATTTTATTTTTTAAATATAGATTTTATTAGTTTTTATAGGGTTAGGAATAAGGTGGGGTTGGGGTTGGGATTTGGGTTAGGGTTAGGATTAGGGTTGGGGTTGGGGTTTTTCCAAATAACATTCTCAATATTTAGCACTGAGTCTTCTTTCTCTTTTATCTTTAAAGTCAATCTATCCATTTCTGCACACTCTAGAATTTTCTTAATTAGTACTTCTTCAGCTGGTAAATTTTCATTTTTCCAATGTTAGGCAAATACAATTCTTGCTGCCGTTAGTATGTGTAGTATTAAAGATCTGCAATCTTTCTCATAATTAGCTCCTATTATTCCTAACAAAAATAATTTTGGTTTAAAGTCTATTTGTTTTTTAGTCATTTTCTTCAACCATAAATGTATTTTAACCCCAAATCTTTTTGCTTTAGGGCATGTCCACCAGATATGATAATAAGTACCTGGTCTTTGTTTGCATTTCCAACAGTTGTTTGAAGTATTTTTAAACATTTTTGCTAATCTCACTGGTGTTAGATGCCATCTGTAAAACATTTTATATAAGTTTTCTTTATATGCCACTGCTTTAGTTAATTTAATATTTCTTTCCCATAATGTTTGCCAATCTTCTAATTCTGTATTATATCCAAAGTTCTTTGCCCATGTTATCATTGTTTCTTTTACTTGTTCTTCCTCCATCTTTAAGTTTAACAGAAATCTATAGAGTTTCTTAATCAACTTTTCATCTGTTTTTAGCTGTATCTGATCAAATTCTGTCTGTTCTTTATAAAAATCCCATTGTTTTAACATCTTTTTTCATATCTCGTTTGAATTTGTAGATATGGCCACCATGTAGATTACCTTGTTCTTGTAAATCTTGTCTGTCTTTCAATTTTCCTTCATTGTCCAAAATATCTTTATAAGTCACAACTTTATCGTAGTTAACTAAATTTGGGTAAGCAAAAACTTCCATTGTTGAAAGCCATTAAGGTATCTTAATATAATTTTTTTCTTTTCTTTTTTTCCCATTCTGAAAGAAGTGCATTCCTTGTAGATAAGATAAGATAATCTTTTTGTCTTTTTTTACTGTGGGCACAACGGCACACATCAAAAATGAAATTTAGTTGTCCGCTCTCAAAGTGAAACACATACATGACACACACCTAAACATACTATGAACATATGTATAGACCCACACCCCTACATATACGTAGCAAATAAATATTAAATACTGTCCATCTTGAATATATAACGGAAGGAGGAAGCTTGAGAGTTCACAAGGTTAATGCTGTATGGAATGAAACTATGGCTGAATCTGGATGTTCTGCTACGGATCCCACAAAGCCTCCTCCCAGAAGGTAACAAGGAAAACAGGTCATGAAGAGGATGTGTAGTGTCCCAGATAATCTTATGGACCCTGCTCAAGCAACGCTTCTGTGCTATGTCCTGGATGGGAGGGAGGGAACTGCCAATGATCTTTTCGGCCATTCTCACCACTCTCTGCACTGCCTTCATGTCTGAAGCAGTGATGCTTCCAAACCAGACTGTGATGCTGTATGACAGGATGCTCTCGATCGTCCCCCTGTAGAAAGTGGTCAGGACAGGGGAACGAAGATGTGCTTTTCTCATGCAACGCAGAAAATGCAGGCGCTGCTGTGCCCGCTTCACCAGTTTCTCACTGTTGACCGACCAAGTCAGCCTACTCATTAGCTGCACACCCAGGAATTTGATGCTGGTAACCATCTCCACAGGTGAATCATTAATGCACAGAGAAGTGTGGCTGTGCCTGCCTTTTCTGAAATCGACAATGATCTCTTTGGTTTTTCCGGTATTTAAAACTAGGCTGTTTTCCTTACACCAGTTCACCAACCCCTCAACCTCCTTGCGGTAAACTTCCATCTTGTCATCCTGAATAAGGCCTACTACTGTTGTATCATCTGCGAACTTCACAATATGGTTGGTGGCAAACCTAGCACAACAGTCATGGGTCAACAGGGTGAACAGCAGCAGACTTAAGATGCAGCCCTGAAGAGAACCTGTGCTCAAGAAAATGGTATTAGAGGTATTTGTTCCAACTCGCACATATTGGGGCCTGTTGGTAAGAAAATCAAGAATCCAGTTGCACAAAGGAGTGTTTAAGCCTAAAAGGCCCAGTTTGTCTACTAGATGTTGGGGAATGATTGTGTTAAATGCCGAACTGAAGTCGACAAACAACAAACGCATGTGAGTATTTCTTTCCTCTAAGTGCTTCAAGCTCAGATGGAGAATGGAAGAAATAGCATCCTCCATAGAGCGATTTGGTCGGTAGGCAAACTGAAGTGGGTCACATGCTGGCCGGAGGCTAGATACAATAATGTCCTTTATCAGCTTCTCAAAGCATTTCAGAATGGTGGATGTCAGTGCAACCGGACGGTAATCACGGAGGCCTGTAATTGTGGACTTTTTTGGCACTGGCAAGATGATGTCCGTCTTAAAACACGTTGGGCCCACTGCCTGCTGCAATGAGAGATTGAAAATATCTGTGAGAACACAAGCCAGCTTCTCTGCGCATTCCCTGAGGACACGTCCAGGGATGTTATCTGGGCCTGCTGCTTTCCGAATGTTAACTTTCTGCAGTGTTTTCTGGACAGAGGTGACATCAAAGCTTAGCACTAGCTCGTCAGGATGGGGCACAGCTTTCCTAGCAGGAGTGCTATTTTATGGTTTATAAAATTGTTTTATTTTATTTTGTTCTGTCTGTACCAGCAACTAGCAGAATTGATGTTAAAGCTGTTTGGACACTGCTTGAGGCAGTTTACTTCAAAACAACATATAATTATACGGTCAAAATCAAATCAGTTTACACTGTTTCATAACATCCCTATTACATACAATTTTAATAAACAATTATACATGAAATATATATTTTCACCAGCAGGCGGCAGGACAACTTTATAAAAAGGTTTTTTGAAATGTACTAATTATTAAGAATGGTAACTTACTGGCATTGATTATAGAAACTTTTTATTTTTTTTTGCTGATGGAAGCTATATAATAGTGAAAATCACTTTTAATACTGTAATGAAACTTTTGACAAATAAATACAAGTTTTTCAAAATTGTACAGTAGTTTTGGCATGCTTTGAAAAAATATTTACATCAGCTAAATACACAAAAATTCTGATCACAGAAAAAGCAATGATATAATCAAACAGAAAGTTGGGATTCAATTAATTATTACTGAATACTTGTTAAAACAAAATTAGAAGTGCCATTTTACAATAGTACAAATGAAAGCTTTTTGTAAACTCCAGTTTGCAATAGTTTTAACCATTTCTTCAAGAATGACAGCAGCATGACTGTACTGTCCCTAATGTAACTCTTTTCCCCTCTTTTTTATTAGTTTATAGTATAAAATACAAAAATACAAAAGCAAATAATAGAAAAAATAGGGGAGGGAAAAGAGAAGGGAAAAGTGTAGAAAAGAAGGGAGAAAGAAAAGGCGTTGACTTCCGACTCTCTTTGGTGCAGTAGAATAAGATAATAACATGCAATGCTTTATATATTCATTTTCCAAATTGAAATTTAATAACAATTTATAGACCTTAGCAATAAATAATATGTTCATCACTATCACACAGTAGGACTTCCAATTCATTTTTAACAGTCAAATCCATAGCTCTTTTTGTCTAGTCTAAATCTTTCTTTCAGTTGTAAATATGTAAACCAGTGACAGACAGGTCCTTCTGATTCTAGCTCTTCCTTAGACTTGAGGGTAGGATCACCAAAGTTAGAAGATATTATTTGAACATAAGCTCACTAGTCCAGCTTCACAATTTCTTCTCTGAAAAAAGCTTCCTGGGGGGACACCCATAGAAAACCTTATTTTTATATTTATTCCAAACTCTTAGAATGGCACATCTAACAAAGTGGTTATTAATATCATCATTTACAATAATGTTGAAAGCAGTCCTCACATTGTCCCTTAACTGTCTTTTTGGCAGAAAGCCAGATTCATCTTCATGAATGTAAAACCTTCTTTAATCTTTCTACCAATACTGCAGCAAAAAGTTTATAAGTGAGATTGGTCTGTAGTTCTTTATCTTTGTAACATCTTGAGTTTTCTTCCATAGTAATGCAAAATTAGCTTCTTCCCAAGTTTGAGGTATCTTTCCCCCGCTATAATATATCCTTTAGTGGCTGAAGAAATTCATCTTCAAAACATTTATAATATTAGCTTGTAAGGCCACCTGGATCTGGAGCTTTACCTGATTTTATTTTTTTAATAGCTTCTGATATTTCAAAGGTAGTTACTGAGTCATTCATAAGTTGTCTCTAAGTTTGTGAGAGTTTAGATAACCGTTGTCTTAACAAATATTCATCTATTTTGTAACTCTTGAGTAAGAAAGGAGTATATCAAGATAGTTTTTTTTAGAAACAAGTGAAAAATGTATCCTTCCAGGGAAATAAAACTAGTGTTTCTAAGTTTAGTTTTTTACAGCTAATTTCCATTTCGTTTTGAACAGAACATAATTGAATAACGGAGTTGGAAGGGACCTTGGAGGTCTTCTAGTCCAACCTCCTGCTCAAGCAGGAGAGCCTGTACCATTCCAGACAAGTGGCTGTCCAGTCTCTTCTTAAAAGTTGTGGAGCACCCACAACTTCTGAAGACAAGCTGTTCCACTGATTTATTGTTCTCACTGTTAGGAAAATTCTCCTTAGTTCTGGGTTGATTCTCTCCTTGATTAGTTTCCATCCATTGTTTCGTGTCTTTTCTTCTGGTGCTTTGGAAAATAGGTTGACCCTGTCTTCTTTGTGGTAGCCCCTCAAACATTGGAACACTGCTATCACGTCACCCTTATCCTTTTTATTAGACTAGACATACCCAGCTCCTGCAACCATTCTTCATGTTTTAGCTCCAGCCCCCTAATCATCTTTGTTGCTTTTTTCTGCACTCTTTTCAGTCTCAACATCTTTTTTATAATACAGCTAATCCCCGAGTTATGAGCATTCACTTAACGCTCATTCAAAGTTATGTGATGATGAGTGCCTACTGGTGCTTATGAGAAAGTCCCAAAGTTACGATTATTGCAGCACCACGGCAGTCGTTCGCCCTTACAAGCGACCACAGTGGCTCTGCAACATTCACCCTGGTTATACTGTCCCTCCCCACCCCGCCCAGGTCTCCCTAGGCACCAGGCCTTCAATACTCACCCTGTGAAGATTGAGATCCTTTGCTTTCTTGGTTGCTCCAGGCCTTCGGTGCTAAAGTAACGCAAGATCAGTGGGATGAGATCTCACGCTACTGATGGAGGGCTAAAGTAACGCAAGATCAGTGGGATGAGATCTCACGCTACTGATCTCACATGATCTCATGTACTTTAGGCCTCTGTTCTCTGCAACAGAGAACAGAACCAAAGCTGAGGGACACTTCCCCGTGCTTACAGTGGCTGTATCTGGGCTCTGGAGGCCTTTTCCAGGCTGCTGTGGCCCGGATTTGAGGCCGGGGAATGCTTCCGTGCACCCCACGCGGCTCAAACGGGCCTGGAAAAGGCCTCCAGAGCCCAGATCAGGTCACGCGGGGTGCGCAGAAGCATTCCCCAGCCTCAAATCTGGGGTGCAGTGGCTTGGAAAAAGCCTCTGGAGCCCGGATTGGGCCATGCGGGGTGTGCGGAAGCGTGTGGGGGAGAAAGTTTTATCTTTCTACAAAGTATTTAAGACTTAAGTTACCTAGCAAAAAATTGGGACCGAAATACCTGGGACCTTTTTCCATAGTGCAGATTTTAAACCCAGTTACTGTAGAACTGAAACTCCCTTGTCTTTTGGGAACGATCCACCCAGTATTTCACTGTAGTTTGTTGAAGCCTTTTAGAGGTTCAACTATGAGACCCCCTCCTAAGAAAGCACCTGGTCTGCTTGTGGTGGCTGGAGAGACTCATTACAAAGTGAAGTGTATTCTTGATGCAAGAATGTATAAAAGGAAATTGCAATATTCAGTGCAGTGGAAGGGATATCCATTATCAGAAGCCACCTGAGTGAAGTGTGCTGATATGAAAGCTGATAGACTTGTACGTAAATTTTATGATAAACATCCGAACAAAAGGAGGGGGGATTCTTAACTTTTATTCTTGTTTGATTTTCAGGATTTCTCCTTTCTTTTAAGGGGAGCCAAATGTCAATGCTGTGACAAACCGAACTGAAGCCATTTTAACTTTGTCTTCATTGCCGCATTTTAGTTTAGAGATTTTAGATGAAGGAAAAGGTTTGTGTGTGTGTTTAGTTCTCAGTTAGCCCAAACAATTCCTATGTGCGAGAACCAAGGTCAGTGCTGATAACATTTTGGCGGGCTGGAGAGCTGGGAGGAGAGCCTGCTTTTGCAACAATTGGTGAATGTGATTTATGACAGCAATTTAGGGTGGGAATTGCAATAGTAACTTTGTAACAAGGGGAGGGGATTTTTAGTCTTGGGTTCACCTATGTACGTGTTGATATTTTGTTTCCAAATAAAATGTATCTTTAAGAAAGAAATTTTTGCCTTGAAGTTTTTTTAAACGGTTTCATCTATTGGAACCATGACAGTGTGTATAAATAAATACTATTCTTGTTTTATTTGTTAAAATATATTCATCTGAATGACTGAAATCAACTCTCTCCCCCATTACATACTGGAGCAGCTTTGCTAACCTGTGAAAAGTCACTACCGATTCACTATTGTTTGTTATATTAAGGGAGGAGAGCATGTATATAAGCGTTAACTTTTTTAGCTTTAGAGAATCAAGTGCAGAATGCAATGTCCCCAATAAAATCAACTTCATTGATTTTGGTACCATGTTCAATAATAGTTTTTGATTGGGTCTTATAAAAATATATATACTTTAATGCCATTTAACAGGTTTTTAACTCAGTTCCAATATTCTCTTCAGTCCAAAATAAGTTTATTATGTTACAGCAAGGACAAGTTGAGGGAATGATAGATTCACGTAGAATAGAAATGCAAATGAAATCCCTTTCAATTCAGAACAACTCCTAGCTGCTGACAAATATGAAGAGTCTTGAAATGTTAAATAGATGGTAAGGACCATAAGGGTGGACTTAGACACAAAGCCAGCAGGGTGACCTTGGACTAGTTTTGCTCACTCCACAATAGGAAGAAAGCCAGGGCAAACCACCTCTCAAAATGTGGCCAAGAAAACTGTAAAAATTAATCCTGGCAATTACCAGGAGTCAAAACATACTCAGACACAACTCCTCTCTCTTTTTTGGGGGTGGGTGGGTTTGCTTTGGAGGAGCAATGTCCATGGTGGTACAGGTCCTGGGCATGGCATTATAATCTAAGTGTCGCTCCATTTGTATGTATCAATACAAGAAAAGCACAGGAATTGGATTGGAATACTATCTGCCACCTTGCAGATGTTTACACCCATCCCTATAGCCACCGCTGTCTGGCAGCTGTTGGTGCCTGGCAATCTTGTCTGCAGGGTTTCTAAGACATCTAGTCACTTCAGAGAACTTAGACCTTTTTATATCAGATTGCACCCAGGAATGGCTTAATGCTAGAGGATTTAAGTGGTTGTGAAGTTGATTGCAGCCATTAATATGAATAGATCAATTGATGCTAGGCATGAGAGGGTAGAGTGAGCTATAGTGACATGTTGAATAACAGAAGGAACTTGGAGAAGAAATTATCTTTTCTTCTTCAGTACTTTTCCCACCACCACCTGATGGTTTCAGATTATCTGCTTATTTTTAATCTATAGCAATATTCCATCTTTAGGAATTATCAATTAGTTAAACCTAGAGAAAAAATCATAATCATTAAAAAAAAGTATCCTCGTGAGAGCATCAGCATTTCTATTTTAAAGTATTAAAATATGACAAATAAATGCACTGTGCAAAATAATTTTTGACTTTTCTCGGCTCTTCAATTAGGCTAGTGTCAAATCCTGGCTGAAAAGCCCAACGAAGTAAAACACTGGAGACAGTGATCTTTAATGTTAACTTTAATTAGGCATAACATACTGGCAAATAGAAGAAAAGGTAGCTCAGGCAACATGGTGGAAACAGATAATTAAAAGAGTAAAACCTTCCCTCCCTCTCTGACAGTTCAGTCACACTGTCCAATTAATCTTCCAGCAGTTGTTATGAGAGAAGAAACCTTCAGCTGGCCAACACATTTCTTCAGCAGCTTCGGCTCTCACACTGATAGGGAACACCTGTTTGATCCCAAGCTCCCCGCCCTTGCAACTGTAGACAAGCTAGAAGCAATATGGCAGTCCAAATAAAATAAATCTTTGTAGCTTGACAACTTGTTTTGCTTGGCCAATAACCAGGCGGAGGAAGTATTTCTCTTTTCATAAGTATTACATGATCTCACTTCTATAATTCAATTATTGAGTATTTAAAATATGCATCCTGAAAATAAAGCTGTCTACTCTCAGAAGAAATAGACAGAATGTTATTTATCGATATAGGTGTTTGTTTTTCTAAACTAGATGATGGGAATCTTATAGTTGACTGTGTGGGATGAAACTCAGAAAAATCTAAATAGCATTTTTAAAAAATATATAAATTTTCCTGGTTTTACACACTGAAATTTATTATGAAGGTCTGTTTTCTTAATCCAAAATTTTAAGTATAGGAGATCAGGATTTCCATAGAAAACTTTGCTGTGAAAGAATCTCTATGATGACATCAAATATAGTTTTAATTTATAAGAGATACACAGCATTATAGAATGGAATATTTAATTTATATGGGCCAAAAAATAAAGTTGCTCATATTAGAGAGTCTATTCTCAAATTCTGCTCATTCTTACCTGTAGAAATGTGGTTTCCTTGAGTTTAAATTTCCATTTGCAGAAAACTTTTTCCCACTTAGTTTTGTTTTAAACTTCAAAGCAAATACAAAACATGCAATAGACTTAAAGAATTTCTGAATGAATCATGACAAGTATTAGAAGATATAGAACATTATTAAAAGAAACAGAAATTAAACCAATTCCACACAAATATGCCTGATTCTGAAATGTATAATGCTTACCTTCGGGAAGAATACTAAGATAAAACAACAGCATCCCTGTGAAATCTGAAAAGTATTAAAAACTTTGGTGGTAAAAGATTTCACCCTGAGTAAAGTTTTTGTGGCAACCTAATTAATAAGTAAGTTTTGCACATATTCATATAATGTTTTCAGATGTTAATGTACATTTTAAAAGTGCATAAAATTCTTTATCACTTATATTCTATATCATTGTATATTCTATACAGCTGGAAAAACATATTTTTCTTCTTAAGGATTTTTCATTTAATAAAATCATACAGCTTCTTTAATGATGTCAGCCAATCTTTGGAAACCCTGTAACAACAACAAGAACCGCTATTTATATGACATGAATCAGTAAAAAGATGGTATAAATAAGGAAAAAATAATTTGGAAAAACAGAAAGTTTGAAAGAAACAGTGAATGCTGATGATATTGTAAGCTAGATTTAGCTGTATTTCCTTTTATCTCATCCATCTAATTTCTGTAGCTTACTATTTTGTACTTTTTATTTTGTATAATATTGTTTACCCCTAAATATAGTAATGGGTTATATATTATATTATTAATTATAATAAGAATAGTATTATGAATTATTATAATAACAAAATAAAACCAGTAATATTTTGAGCCTTATTATATGGCTCAAGGAAGGCACTAGGTATGCATGTAAAAGAGCTGAATATTCTTTCCAATGTAGTTTCATCAATACAAATGCAGAAACATAAGCTGGAATTTCAAGATATGAAATAGCTACATAGATAAGCCATAGCTTACCCAATCTTTTTTCCATCTACCATGAATATTTCTCATGATCAATGTCACATGCAAACAGATTCCACCTTGAAAGTGCACTGCAATGTTTCATGCAATGCCTACACATATATTTCTTTTATGTATATTCCTCATTGTCTAAATGGAATTAAGATTTAGATGAAGAGAAATCACTCTTCTATGCATTGGCACTATTCATGAATTTGAGTAGAAAGAAATCTTTTTTTAAGATCCTACATTAACTATATTGGTACTATTCCTAGGCCAATTGACTTGATAGCTAAATATCTACAAATGCCTACAATATTTCATGGATACATTTAAATGTACATTGTGTTCAGAAATTCATATTCCGTGTTACATGGAGATGATTCTAATGTTACCTAAAAGCAGGATCCTATAATGCCTATACCAATCCCATACTCTATAAGACTGAATTAACTTTCTAATCCTTTAAAATTTTCCAGCAAATAACTAAATCATCCTGTCAATAGAAATATGAAAAGTAATGAAAGATTCAAATTTGATAGCCCAAATTCAGCCGGTTTCTCACAGAAAGAGGGAAAGATTGAAATGGAATAGAACATGGCTTATCAACTATAACATAAGAATAATGACTGTGAGTCTGATGAAATGGTAGATGTGGAGACAAGGCAAACTTCACTCACCTGATCAATCTGACTTGGAGAAGAGAGAGAGAAGGAGGCTCTGACATGAGAGCTGGGATCAGAACTGTTAATGTTAAATGAACATCCAGGGACAAGCAACACCTAAAGCAAAACCCTTCTCAGTCAGTCATAAGCTTCTCATATTAGAATTGTTAAAAAATGTATTTGCCCTCTCTCCCCATTTTGCTTTAGATTCAATATTTATTTTTCATACTTGTTTCTCCAAAGCTTTTTTCATGATCAATTCTTGGGTATCAGGAACTCCCTTAATCTTAATCCATAGAAACATTCCAGCAGCAGGGATATGCCAGTCTGCCAGACCTTAAATGAGAGAAATGAAATAGCAGAGTGAAAAACAGAAAAGCACATATATGGCTACCACCAACTAACTTAAGGAATTACTTTAGAAATGCACTGAAGTACATAACTCATGATTTAAAACTTAATGGTGTATGCCAGTGATGGCGAACCTTTTAGAGACCAGGTGCCCAAAGTGCAACCCAAAACCCAGTTATGCATCATCGGGTGCCAGGTGGGTGTGGCCCATTGGCTGGGTGTGGCCTATTGGGTGGGCATGGCCCATTGGGTGGGCGTGGCTGTGGTGGTAACGGCAGACTGGGTGGGACTAAAAAGTTCAATCAATCAATTCCAACTTTGCAAGATCTTTTTTTTTCCTGCGAGAAGTTGAAATTGACTGATTGATTGAACCTTTTTTTTTTTTTGACACAGCAGCGGAGGCCTAAAGCGAAAAGGTTTTATAAAACCCAGCTGAAGGCCTAGGACTGGGGCGATGGCGTGCGTGCCCACAGAGAGGGCTCTGAGTGCTGCCTCTGGCACCCGTGCCATAGGTTCGCCACCACTGGTGTATGCTGACTTCTTTACCCTATGAATGGGGAGAAAGTAGACTCAGATCTCTTATTACAGACATGTCAAACTCGCGACATTTCCCCATTGCCGGCAATGGGGTGGGCACGGTTTCTTCATGATGCATCCGTCTCGCAGGCCGGCAGTTTGACACCCCTATCTTATTAGAATAGCCAAAGTTTCTCCTTTTAAGATAAAGCTGTAGTGAAGAGGCTTTCTCCTGAGCTGTTCTTGTCCTATAAGTTACACTATGAGAAAGAACAGGTGGAGGAAAACTCAGAGGGGACTTTTTGATGAAGGAAGAATTTACAGAAAAAAAAGTAAAGGGTCTAGAAGCAATTCTAACCACTCTGAAACTCAATGAACAAAGCAAGAATCCCCAACCTAATCAAGAAAGACTACACCAAAATTAAACACAACAGGGAACAGCTTCTAAAAAAAATGACCCGACACATGAACAAAAAGAAGAAAACCGATACACCCAAATTGAATACTATAGGGAACAAACAGCTTCCATAAAAAATGGTGCTATAAATGAACCTAAAGGGGAAAACATGGAAACATGTCACTTTTAGAAGAAAACAACCACCAAGAAACAACGGATGGAAACTAATCAAGGGTAAAACAACCTAGAACTAAGGAGAAACTTCCTGACAGTTAGAACAATTAACCAGTGGAACAACCTGCCTCCAGAAGCGGTGAATGCTCCAACACTGGAAGTTTAGGGTATAGGGTTTCCTGCCTGAGCAGGGGGTTGGACTCGATGACGTCCAAGGTCCCTTCCAACTTTATTATTATTATTATTATTATTATTATTATTATTATTATTATTATTATTATTATTATTATTATTATTATTATTAGCAAAGCCCCTATTATCCATCATAGCCTACTCCAGTAAAGCCCCTCTGGAACTGAACAATTGCTTTCACAGCCTTCCTCTGGAAGAAAATATGCAGACACCTATAAAAGAGCAGTCATCAATAGTTTCTAAAAAAGAGACACAACCCAGAATTCCTGTGACAGGAAGAACAGTATCCCAGACTTCCCTAGGGAAAAAAGGTGAATATTAATGATAGGAGACTCAATTCTTTGGGGAACAGAAACTATAGTCTGCAGACAGAACAGTCAATCTAGGGAGGTATGTTGTTTCCCTGGAGCAAAAACTAAAGATTTAAGTGAGAACCTTACTAAAATAATCAACCGCATGGATTACTATCCCTTCATTCTTCTACACATGGGGACCAATGACACAACAATGAATCTAAAAACAATAACAAGAGATTAAGAACAGCTAGGGAAGAAATTTAAAGAATTAGGAGCACCAGTGGTATTTTCATCTATACTTCCAACAAAAGACAACTTCCAATGAAGGAGCAAAGGATTTTAGAAACGAACCACTGGCTTAAAAACTGGTGTTGTCAAGAGAACTTCAGTTTCCTAGACCATGGTTTGTGTTACCTACATGAATTGCTACGGGATGGAGTGAACCTCACAAGAACTGGAATGAATATATTCAGAAAATGACTGGCTCATCTTCTCAGAAGGGCTTTAAAACTAAAATTGAGTGGGGAGGGGGACCAATATCAAGACCTTTAGAACCTAATTTCAAGCAAAAACATTAGATAACCAATCATATAAGGAGGTAGGGAGTAAAGAGAAAGAAAAGAAAAACACAATAAAGTAGAGAGTGATAGAAAGGATGGAAAACCCAGTTATAAAGTTGGAGATATAAGAAATATACCCAAGACCCATAAAAGACTCAAATGTCCATACACGAATGCTCAAAGTCTAGGGAACAAACAGGGTGAACTTGAAATACTAATACACGAAGATAGATATGATATAGTTGCCATTACTGAAATATGGTGGAAAGAAACTCATGACTGTACTGTTGGAAGAATACAAACTATTCAAAAGAAATAGACCTAACAAAAAAGGTGGTGGAGTTGCGTTATATGTCATGGTTCCGTTAGATGAAACCATTTAAAAGAACTTCAAGGCAAAGATTTCTTCCTTAAAGAACATTTTATTTAGGAAACAAAGTATCGGCACTTACATAGGTGAACCCAAGACTGACATCCCCTCCCTCAGGCTACAAAGTAACAAATTGCAATTCCCACCCCAAACTGCTGTCATAGATCACATTCACCAATTATTTAAAAACGCGGGCTCTCCTCCCAGCTTTTCAGCCCGCCAAAACCCTTTTCAGGGCTGACCTGAAGTATTGTTATGGCTAACTGACAAACTTAACATCCCCCTTCCCCCTCCTTCATCTAAAATCTCTAAACTAAACTGTGGCAACAAAGACAAAATGAAAAACGGTTTCAGTTCAGTTTGTCGCAACATTGACATTATATATAAAGGATCACTACATCTCTACAGAAATGCAAAAAAATATGGATGAAAACCTCCTAAAATCCATATGGGTCAATATAAAAGGAAAAAAGAATGACATTGCTATAGGCCACTCAACCAAGCAAAATAAATAGATGAACTTTTTGCTAAACAATTAACAAATGTACCATGTTTCCAGGAAAGTAAGACCTACCCCCAAAATAAGTCCTAGCTTGATAAACCCTAGTTTTGGGGCGAGGTGCATGCCTAGCTCACACTAGGGTGGGGGGTGGAGCTGTCCACCACACCCCTCACCTGCTTACCCCTCACCTGCTTACCATGAATTGATACCTGCTTGCCTCATTGGCCCACTTCTTCTGCGCCCCCCTGGTCATGGAAAAAACACCCCCTGAAAATAAGACCGGATGCCCTGCCATGGTCTGTTAACCTCACTGGGTGAGTGGGGTTTAGGGTTAAAGCTGACAAGCAGACTGATAACTCTGCACCATGCAATAAACACAAGAAAATTTTTGCCCTAAAATTGGGCACTTGGAATGTTCGAACAATGACCCCCGGCCTTTCTGACGATTTGCAAGAAATAGATGACGTACGTAAGACAGCTGTCATCGACATGGAGCTGAGCAGACTGCAGATGGACATCGTTGCCCTTCAAGAGACAAGGCTGTCAGACTTATTTGGGATCTGTTAAGGAGAGAAATTTCTCATTCTTCTGGCAGGGAAAACCATCGAATGAGACTAGGGAATACAGGGTTGGCTTTGCGGTCAGAAACACTCTACTAGGACTTCCGGTTCCAGTTCGCGGCGACTCCGGTCGTGTGAAGAGACTCGTTTCTCCACCGGCTGTTTTTTCTTCGCTGGTAGACCCCATAGTGGGTTGAAAGTCGCCCTGGAAGGGCGACCACCGATGAGGAGGCTTGTTGGTGACTGCGGGAGGGCAGCAGCGTCTTCCGTGGCTCCAGCTAACTCCTTAGGGCCGACGGAGCAAAGATCGTCCTACAAGATAGCCAATCATCTAGCTGCACCAGCCGAAAGTCACAGGAACATCTAAGCGTGAAAGACCCACCACGGATGATCCGGGTGAGACCCTCCCTTCTCCTCTCTTCACCCTATTTTTCTCTCTGCCTGTAAAAGCCTTTTTGAAATTATTTCCCTGTCTCGAGAGAGCGGCGTTTGTTTGCGTCGGAAGAAATGCACTGAATAAAAGGACAGAATAATTATTTTTAATGACTATACCTTACTTCTATCTACTTTGGGGTACAGAAAAAACTTTTTTATAGAGCTTTATTTCTACTTTACACTTGAAGAATATTTTTTTTTAAAAAGAGAGAAAAAGAAAAAAAATGCTGTTGGGGAAAGATTTTGTAACACACTGAGGACATCTTGGGGCGAAAATTTAATATTGCAACTGCCTGTTTTTGCCTGGAGATGAGGTTGGCTTGACCTTCAAACTATTACAGAAGGGAAAAGATAAAGAAGTTGATTCAGCGGTTAGAAAGCGTGGGGGTGGACATTGCTTAACTTCCAGTAAATATAGCCCCCACTAAAAGATAAAAAGGACTGTCTTCAATTATTATTGAAATGGAGAAACCTTACTCACAACTAAACTGTAAACGTATATTGGAAAAAAATTACGAAGCCACTGAGCAAGTATGCGCTAAAATAAAAGAGATTACTACAGAAATAAGAGCCAGAAACCTTACTCCAAGCCTTCAAATTGATTCCCAGACTTCAACTGACTGTTCTATAAACCAAAATATACCAGAAGAGGAACTAACTGAGATTAAAGAGGAATTTATATTACCTTATAAGCATTCCACTCACATCCTTGAGGATCAAAAGAACCAAAGATTGAGACTTGAACTTTTAAAGCAACGAGGATCTAATGACACAGGAGCCAGGCCCCTAACACAGAGGATGGGATGTCCTCTACTGACCCAAATGACATCACAAGCAATAAAGGGAGATCTATCTGCTGAAATAGAGGCTTTGTTATGGAAACCGGCCTGGTACAAAAAGAAAGCCAGAATAAGACTAAAAAGAGAAACTTAAAATTATATCTAATAGATTAAAAAGGCCTTGTAGAAATATGGATTGACTTA